ACCAAAATAAGGTTTGAATGAAGTTATGAGTTTGAGTTATGAATGAAAATATAAAAAAATGTCCCATGGTCTCTCCTAGCTCACTTTTTTAAATGAAATTGAATATTAATTTTAAGAAATCAATAAAAATTCAGTTCTATTGAATTTTATTTGATTGTATTTTATTTTCCTGAAATACTTTTCAAACAAGAGTACAAAAGGGATAAATGGAAGAAAATCAGGTTTGGTGTTCTAGTGTGTTCAGTCAGGTGAGCTAATGGCAATATAAATGCCTGCTTGAGTGTAATTGTCTCTGATGGTCTCCCTATCAGAAAGGAGACTAAGCTGTGTTTAATGAAGGCTCTAACGAGCAGCGTGTCCTCTGAGGAATGCCAAACAGTGCCGCCTCCTCCTCTCCATCATTACTCTGATTTGACCAGGTTAGGGGCAGACAGGGGCTCCTTTCCTCCAGAAAACTGCAACAGGTACAGTCCCATCCCAGTTAGAGCTTAACCAAATAATCACATCTCTACATGAAGATGACCCTGTCTTTGAGAAAACATTCATTAAGATGGAAAAAAGGTAGCTCATACACAGAAAACATACACTTCCACTTGTACATTTCTTTAGGCATGATGGAAATAGGGTATATGGACAAAACGTTCTCAGACTTGAAGGCGCCACACAGATTGTGCCCTGAACTTCCTGCGATCGATATTGATAGTGAAAATGAAAATGGGCGGTATGTTTAGACTTAGTTGTTTAGCTATTAACGCTCATTTCCAGCTTCTGGTTGGGAGGGGATGTACCCTGGGCTCTCAGAAAGGGGAAATGGTGTGTCTTCGACTCATTAGGAACAATGTCCTAATGCAGCTCACTGTAAACAAGCAAGAGTGAAAGAAGCTGATAAACTAACACATGAAACTAAATTTTAAACATGCATGATAAACACCATTCACAAACACAGTTTGTGTTTGCTTATATATTTGTAAATTATGTAATTTCACAATTCTTTTAATATTTTGTTCTTTTGAGAACAATAAGCAAAACAAATATAAATATGCTTGCTGCGTTATCATTGATTGTTGATCCTTTCAGCAAAAAGTAGCCACATCACTCATGAAATAAATGCACAGTAAAATAGGGATACTAAAAGTTTTTCAAAACACATCAGCATCAAAAAAAAAAAAACACATTAATCCTCTTTATTTCATTTATTTCTTCAAAATAATGTGTTCTTTGTTTCTTTATATTTGATTGTAGTTGACTTACGTATTTCTTGTGAAGTTGTCAACCCTATTAACATAATTCCCCCCTTTTTCAATTAACAAACAAACAAATAAATAAATAATGTATTTTAGGAAACGACTTGTAGCGTCATCCCAGGCTTGGAATTATGTTACAAGAACTTGCAGTTGCAGCATATTAAAGAGATGGCAAATTGCAATTTATTACGATTTAAACACACTATATGCCTAACATAATCTTTGAAATGTTACAAAACTCTTTATAATCACTTTATCAAACTGGAAAAGGTACCTGTTTCAAAGAAAGATTACTGTTTTTGGCCATACAGTGGCATTATAAGCAGAAGACTATACTGCAGCCATCAGTAAACATATTATATACATATATATATATATATATATATATATATACTTTATATATGCTGTGCTGTGTGTGTGTGTGTATATATATATATAGATATAAACTTGGAGCAAAAAGCTTGGATAACCTGCTTTGTGTAAGCATTTATGTGTATGAACACTCCCTGAAAAAAAAAATCTGTGCAGCAGGTTTAGTATACAGACTTGTAATGAATGTCCTCAAGTAAAATTATACCATCAAGTCCTTAATTATTGGTGTTACTCATTTGAGTTTATACCCTTTACTTAGTTGCTTTGCTATGCAAAAGGGCAGAACAGAAGAGCAGAGGGTAAGATGACCTTTGTGTAGAGATACAAGCTGCAGCTCAAGCCCAGTGCGATGCTTAAAAGAAATTACTAGATAGTTTAAAAATGCCAATGGTTTCTCACAGGTGAAAATCTGATGCCAAAAAAAAACAAAAACCACTCTGCACCAGCAGTGCTGATCACACAACACACCCAGTGTGATCACATGCACACCCAGCAAATGATCACACAACACACCCTGCAGTACTCACCCACAATTCACCAAAACTGCATAACAGTCTAGCACTTTCAACACTGAAATCTTGGCACATGTAATTAAAAAATAATAATTAAAAAATAAAAATAGTTTAAACGAATATGAGTGCATAATTATTTTAATTATTTTGAAACGACTATTTTTCATAGCCTATAAGCATATTTAAGCAATAATAATAATAATTTTCAAATGCAACTGAATGCAATAATTTTTTTATCTATCTATCTATCTATCTATCTAATATGCATATAATTCTGTGCACAACAAAGCACTGGAATGGTGCAAACTGGAAATGGCTCAGTTTGTTGTTTATAATCATTATTACTGCAAATATGTTCAGTTAATTGGTAAAGATGGCTGCAGAAAGGGTTAAGACAGACATAATTGATGCCCACAAGCTAAATGACTGTACAGAGAAATTCATAATCTTTGGTTTTGATCTAATCTCATCTGTAATCACTTTACAGTTTTTCTCAATTGCTTTGGCACATTTTTCGAAACAATAATGATTGAGAAGTTGTGAAGAGTTTGACAGTTTAAGTGAGAATCGGCTCATCAGTTTTGATCAACAAGCCATATGCAATTAGTTGTTGTGCAAACTGCAGACAATTGTACTTACTGTTTGCACACATGTGCCAAAGCATTTGCAATTTGCTCAAATCAATAAGAAATTCCAATCTGATGTGAACAAGAAGCTAATTGTTCAGAGATCTGAACTTATTGTTTTGGGAAAAAAAAGTTTAATTCGAGAATTGAGCCAAAGCAATTGAGAAAAACTGTATAAGCCATAAAGCAGTTAAACTTTAATTAAGGACATTAAAAACCAAAGGGACAACATGCTGCCTTTGGTCCTCATAGATTTTCCATGAAAAAAAAGTGATTTATACAATTTGGAGCAACTTGAGAAAGTAAACGATTAACTGTTCCTTCTAAAAATATAATAATTAATGGAATTATTTTTATACAACAAAGAAAAGCACTGATGAACATTTTAAATCTTCAAAAAAAGAAAGAAGAAAAAAACACTCCTTCAAGTTTAGTTTTATCTTTCATGATTATGCTGAACTCTGATATGGGAATAAAACTCTTCAATGAACTCTGATAGTTCATTGCCCTTTACCTTTGTCTTTACTTTCTTATCACAGTATATATGATAATATGAGAAGTGTTAATGTCACACGTCTCATATGCTGCACAAAGGTTTTCAGTAAAGAAACGCTATTGTTTTGATATCACTCTTGCATCCTTTTGAGGCACAGGCCGTTTGTGTTGTCTGCCAGTATACTAACAGACTGTTGTAAAGGAGGTTTCACACTGAGATCCATAAAAGCTTGTTTGATTCCACTAACATCACGCCCCACTCTCGGTCACATGAGAGCAGAAATGTGTTTGTGCTATACCTGCCCTCTCTAAGACAATGCGTTCGTCTCAGCATGGGGTCTTGGCTCTTCTCTGTCAGGATGTTTCTTTCACCTCTTTCTCAGAACAATACATGTCAAATCAACAGTGGCCATGGGAGTCCATCCTGGCAGACAAATTCTCAAGCCACAATTCTTATGAACCTTAACACCTCTTCTGAGTGTACATTCTTGGGTGTTTTAGATGGATAAATCATCAAAACTCCTAAAGCGACCTTGATGGACTAGTGAACCAACACAGAAAACAAAAGCCCCTTTAATTGGCAAGAAATTATTTCCCTTTGTCGAGTTATCAGAGGGATTATGTGGTTTTATAATAGAAGAAACTCATGTAATATCCAGCGGGATTTGTCAAAATTAATGTTCAATTTTAACAAGATTAAATGTTGGCAAGTAACAAACTCAAAGCCCATGGGGGGTGTTGAAAAACACAGTAATAAGGGCAAGTATCAAGCTGTGAAATAACAGTAAAGTTCATTCCACTCATGGCAGGGGTTATTTCCTCTGAAATCACCTTGTCCCCACTCAAAGATCCACTCTTAGTCAGCTAAATCATATCTTACATCATTCAAGATATTTTGTGTTAACAGCTTTTAGTGGCAGATGAATGTATAAGTTGAGTCTTAACACCAACGGAAAATAGTTAATATAGCACTACTCAATTTTTAATCAAACGAGAGCCAAAGATCACTTTTACTTTAAAATAATAATTATATAAATTAGAATAATAAATGTAAATTTTTACATACATTTTCTTTATACATATACACACACACACGCTATTAAAAGTTTGGGGTCAGTACGATTTTTAAAAAAATAAATTGATACTTATTTAGCAAGGGCACATTCAATTGATCGCAAGTGACAGTAAAGACTTCCACACTGTTACACAAAAATTATATTTAAAAAAAGCTTTCTATTTATTAAACTATCCTAAAAACAAGTATTATGGTTTCCACAAATATATCAACTCTTTAAGGATCATGTGACACTGAAAACTGCTGAAAATTCAGCTTTCATTATAGGAATAAATTAAACCCTAAGCCCATTTAAAAAAAAAAAAAAAAATTAAAACAACTTTTTTTATTGCTGTTTTTATCATATTTTTCATCAAATAAATGCAGCTTTGTTGAGCATAAGTGACTTTTTTTTTTTTTTTTACTTTAAAAAACCTTACTGAACCCAAGCTTTTAAATTGTGGTAAATGCATACATTACAGACATTTAGGTGAGTATACTCTTATAGCATTGTGTGCCCTGCACATTATGTAACAATAATAAGTCAACTTTAAAAGTCCAGTGTCATAGATATATTAAAAATTTGATACCAATAAAATGGCCTCAAAGTTCAAAGTGCTTGCGTTTATTTCTGTTCATCATTCAGTTACTTTAGTGATTATATAATTACATTACATTCATTTAAATATACTGTAGACATTCGGTTTGGTTTGGGGTCCTCAGATATATAAGTTTTCCTCAAACAGTCAAAGATTTTAAGAAACTGTTAAGAGCCTTCAACGTCCTTCCATAGAGTGATGCACTTTATTATTAAAGCTTCTCTGTTTCATACGCTGGGTTGATCATACCCTCATCCATACTCTCTTTAATTACACCAAGAAAGCCTTCATCCTTTGGATTGTTGTCAAAATGTCCTGTTTCTCCGCTCTTAGGCACTTTGGTTTTGGGATACCTGTAGCACATTAAGAGTAGTCCACTTACAATGAGCAGGCAACCTGAACCGATCCCAATCCCAATCCCTGGACCCACTTCCTGTTTCACTGGAGCAGAAGGCAAGTAGAAGTCAGGCGGGAAGTCTATAGTGAGATTCGCCAGTACAGAATTCATATTCCAAAAGACGGGGACCAACGAACACGCTGCAGTTAACCAGAACAAGGAACCCGCCATCACAAAGGTCAATCTGACATGCCTGTTGTTAACCCCAAAGATGGCATTCCTCACCACATGTCCCGCCACTAGGATTGCGAGCACCCCCACGCCAACAGCAACCATGCAAAGCACCTGGGCGGCTGCTATTTCTGGTGGAGTGAATGAATCTGTAAGGCTGATGCTTTTGCAGATCTCAGTCGAATCCAAAATGTGGCTGTTGAAACAGACCCGCCACACTCCCACCCAGGCCAGTCCTCCGGTGATGACTGTCTGATTGTCCACGTACCATATCCTCCAGTCGTTCACCCCAGAAATGGAGGCTGTCATTATCCAGCCTACGAACCCAAGCACTAGACCCGCAAACTGCCAATGGACTGACTGGGGAAGGTAAGCCATTGCTAAAACTGCTGAGTCCCAACACCAGGTGGTGATGAATATTTCCTCCTCAGGTCTGCACACTGTCCTTCAGGAGCATGGCTACATCGCAGTCATACCACTTCTGTTAGATTAGAGAAAATAAAAAGGCTTTTTTAACCCAACACTAGGGGCAATATGAGGGGACCCCATTCCTAAAATACAACAGCAACTAGTATCATTAAAAAGTTTGGGATCACTAATTTTTTTATTCTGCATTAGTTTGATAAAAAAGTGACAATACTTTTACACCGTTAAAAAATATATTTAAAATGCTGTTCTTTTGGACTTACTATACATATATGATAGGCTATATGACCCCCCCATAATTAAAATTATTTCTGAAGAATTATGTGACACTGATGATTGGAGTAGTGACTGCTGGAAATTAAGCTTTATTACTGTTTTACTGTATTTTTTATCAAATTCGTAGCCTTGGTGTGATAAAAGAATCATTAAATAATAACATTTTTAAATTAAAGATCATTAAAGATTACCAACCAAACCTTTAAATGGTAGAGCATATTTTCATGTAAAAGTGCATTTATACTGTGTCGGAAATATAGTTAGCATGATATTATGTAGACAACGTGGTAAATGAATTAATTAAAATCATTAAATTCAAAATAATAAAAAATTATAATAAATCAAAATAATATAAATTATAATAAAAGTAAACAATTGACTTTTATTTTGTAATTATACTAAAGCGAAAGAAACTGAAATAAATGCCAAAAGAGAGGCAAATATTATTTGGAAAATATTTAATTGATTTTAAGAAAAGTAACAAAGGCATTTTTTTATTGAAAGCTGTAGAAAAGGATATGATTATTTTTCCAGGGCTGTCAATAAAACAATTGAGTTAATCTCATGATTTCCGACCAGTCAGCACAAAGTAGTCATACAGTAAAATAATTGTTAAACTTTATATGGAAATTTTCCATGGACCACCAACACTCCCTTTGGATTTTGTATGGCCTTTTGTACCTTTAACAATATGACAGTAAAGAGAAAACAGGAAAATACAGGAAGAAAGCAAGGGGAATGGGACAGGGACATGAGGCAAGCCAGACTGAAACCTGCGTCCCACAGTGCCACAGCCTTCTTGACATTTCACAAAACAAGTAAATGTTTGGAATGTACAAAGACAAGAGGACAAGGTCAAGCAACCATTTCAGACTGAAGAAAATGCTTTTCACATGTGTTTAAAAAATTGTGGTGATGAGCGATGTTTCCAGAGGGAGGAAAAAGGACACTGTGTTGAAGGCCAAGCATAAGGCTACGCATTTGAGACCAAACAGAGAAGGAAGAAGAGGACAAAAGAGAGAGAGAGAGAGAGAGAGAGAGAGAGAGAGAGAGAGGGAGCACTAATATTTCCTGCCTGGCTCCCTGCACACCTGGGGTTGTGGAATGTTCCAGGATAAGCTGAAAGGTCATTTACAATCATCAGTTTCTTCACGCACAGGAATCAGAGATGGCGACAAATTAATAGAGCTTTAGATCATTGATTTCCATGGGAATTGAACACTTTGCCAACCCCCACCCCCAGTAAATAACTCCCCCATATTACTGCCCAATATATTAAATAGACAAAATATGTCATATTTATTGTTGCAAAATGTATTGAGCACATTCAGTTGTTCTATAACCTTATATGACCTTTTCGCTATTTCCAGCAGTTTCTCAAGCTCTTGTTAAACTTTATAGTCAACATTTGTGTAAAGCCGATTGATAAAGTAGGCTATAGCCTATACATCCTTCGAAATGTCAATAAATAAAACACAAACTCGTGCTTACCTGTGAAATGTTTTGATCTCCGAAGGATCTTCTAAATTGTAAATCACTTCATCTAAAGTACAGGATCCTCACCTGTGCCGCTCAAACGGAGCTAGTGGAAATGACAACTTTGCGAACTGACAAGTACAAGTCAAACACAACTGTGGTTAATGATTAATGTAGCATATCCAATAAATGGATAAAAGAGGGCGGGGAGGATCAATGCAAAACAATGAAAAGTTACTATACTATTACCATAAACCTGTGTATTGTTTAGGCCTATCCAGGTGGTCAGTTGAACATGACGTAGGTGTTTTGTGTAATATTCTTTGAGAACGTCCCTGAATTGTACGTGTGTTCACATGATAATGTAACGTGTTGCGTAGCTGTAAACACAAGCAGCCACAGTTGCGTAAAAGGTAGGTATGCATTATTTTTTAATATCATATTTCAAATGATCAATAAAGCCTGACAACAATCGCATCATCTTTTTCTTTTAGTTTCTTCATCTTAAATCACGTATTCTATTTTTTTTCCACACTGCTCCAGCTAATGCGTTTTGGAGTAAACGTCGAAAAGCAGATTATTTTTTCTATTACTGTTTTCAGATTTTAAAATAATACGCTTACATTGAAATATATTGAACGCCATAATATTATGTTAAGTTGCGCCGTTGTTTTGCTCAACCACTATCGGGTGAGTTTTACATGTCAAAGTCTCTTTCCTGATTGGCCAAGGCAATAAGACTTTAGGCTATCTGAAGTTAAATATTAGGTGATCAGAGCTTTTCAGATAAAACCATGATTGCTTAGAGAATCAAGAAATAGAAGGATTGAATCAAGTAATAAAAGTTTAAATTGCCAGTATAATTACACTAAAACGTCATTCCTTTAATTTGGATGATCAACTCAATGTAATTAAAGTTTAGAACCTAAAAAATTTATAATTATTTATTTAAAATGATGCAGACTTACATGATAGGAACAACAATATTAAAAAGTATTTTACCTCACAGATTATCAGACACTTTTTTGTTTGTAGAATAAATCTTGATTGACAAATACATGTGCTATTTCTACAATAATATCGGAAACAATGAATTTGTGTCACACTGCATCCATGCCATAAAGTGTCAGTATAAAGCAATAAAGACCATCCTGAGCTGTGGCATGAAAGACAGCATTCATTGCATGCTTTAAAAGCCTTCCAAAATAATGTTACTGGTAAAGCAGCTAAAAAAAAAAAAAAAGACATACTTGTGGAATCTGAGCCAGTTATATATCAGCTAAATTCAACATGATCATAAAGTAATACATGCAGTCTTTTCTACACAATGTATCTTTTATGAAAAAAGATTTGACACTGAAATATAATAATTACGAGGAACAAAGTTAATACACTCATGACACGGCTTTTAATTATCTATCTGCAAAATTGTTACTACTTACTATATTACATGTTAAGTTGCTGTGTAAATGTACAGGACATTTTAGACTGGAATATGATGCATTTTTTTCTCCGTTTATATGCATTTTGAGTCTATTCTGACCACATAAATAAACACGAAACCACAAATGTGACCCTGGAGCACAAAACCAATCATAAGTAGCACAGGTAGATATTTTGTAAATTTCCTACCGTAAATATATCAAAACTTAATTTTTGATTAGTAATATGCATTGCTAAGAACTCCATTTGGACAACATTAAAGGCGATTTTCTCAATATTTTTTTTTCTTTTTGCACCCTCAGATTCCAGATTTTCAAAAAGTTGTATCTCCACCAAATATGGTCCTATCCTAACAAACCATACATCAGTGGAAAGCTTATTTATTCAGATGATGATGATTTCAAAAATGGATCCTTATGACTGGTTTTGTGGTCCAGGGTCACAAATATCTTACAGATGAAAATATAAATGACACAAACACATGATGTGGAGTAAAAGACAGCTGGTATTTTATAGACAAGCACTGAATCCTTAGTGAAATAATATTGTATCGTTTAGGCAAGTCTTTCAGAATACTTACAGTCAGTCCTAATTTTGATGCATTGTTTGGTGATATATCATACATTCATCTATAAAAAGTGTGCAGACTAAAGTGGTAGTTTGCTTGGCTAAAATGAAGTGAAAGAGTACAATTCTAGCCTATTCTAGTTATATACAAAGATTCAAAAGGCTAAAATAAATTACTAAAAATATAATTGAATTATTTTAAACATGACCAGGATAGAGACACATGTCCTTTGAAATTATGCACCATCAAAAAGTCATTTTCGGAAGTTAATTACAACCTCCTGGTGTAAATAGAAACAGCTGACATGTGCAAAGCTTTATGCCACCGGGATTTGAGTGCATGTTTGAATCACAAGAGTTTGTATTGGCGTTCAGGCATAAGACATTTTGAGGTGTCTTTCATTGCCCTCTAGTGGTTAAAAAGATACAGCACAGTGAGTGACCACGGCATGTACATACAGAGTGTCAAGTTTTGAGAGCACATTGGTGCAAAAAGGTCATGATCTATTTAAACCGATGTGGGGGAAAAAAATTAAAAGTGTCTTTAAAAATTATTATTATTTCACCATAGAATTCTATGGGTCGTGTAACATTGGAACGTCATGAAAGTATAAGATCAATGAAAGTATAAGATCAGCTGACAGGTGATTTGGTCAAATCATGATCTAAAAGTGCCCAGCACTTTCACAGTCTTTATGAGTCTTGCCAAAATGCTGTCTGCTGGGGCAGACAAGAAGCACTCAATATATGACCAGAATGCAATTCCATTGGCAGTAAATGGACCACATTAAGTACTGCTTTGGAACCCTGTTATTTAGGGTGACGTCAAGCGAGTTGCTCTGGATCACTGCATAAACTGTTTTTTAAGTCCTCAGTTGGTTGTCCTCTGGTCCATTGGGAGACTGTCCATCAGACACTTGAGCTGCTCCTCCCCCAGTTTGATCTTGTCCTCGAGCTTGCGCTGCTCAATAATAAGGGCAGACTTCATCTTCACAAAGTGCTCATAGTCAGCCATATTCTCCTCTGACAGGTAGCTCGCCAGGATGTCGTAGACCACACGTTCTCTCCTGTCAAGGTTCTCCTTCAGCTCCTTGGCATCCTCATGTTGACGGATCAGCAGTTTGCGTTTCTCTGTCAGTGTACGCTGCAGAAAGATGATGAACATTTTCAATAAAAGAACAATTCAATCAAAATCATTCTTTTATCTTTAAATGCAAAGCACCTTGTAAAAGTTTTTGGCCAGGAATGTTTGTGTGTGTGTGTGTGTATAATCATGTGACACTGAAGACTGGAGTATTGGCTGCTAAAAATTCAGTGTTGCAATCAAAGGAATAAATGACATTTTAAAATATATTAAAATAGAAAACAGTTCTTTTACACTGTAATCTTATTTCACAATATATATATATGTATATACATGTGTCCTATACATGTGTGTATAGGACACAAAACATGACTCTATATACAAATAAGTGCATTTTAATTATCTGGTAGCCCATTTAAATCTATATAAAAGCTATGGTACTAGAATAGTAATGTAATTTATACCATGGTACACAGTTATTACCATTTTCCATAGTACCAATTTAAGGCTCTACGGATTAAGATTGTAAGGAAACAGTAAAGGATAGGGGAAGAAAAAAAACAGGATCTGGAAGTGATGTGAGCTGGACTCAAAGCGGTTCAATCTGTGTCAGCAGTAGGCCATATCTCTGGCATAACATGCTACTTTTATGTTAATGCCATTTTCCAGCCTTTATAATATTCTGTGTTCTTTTTCAGCCTATTTTCTTATGCTTTTTGAAACTGTTAATTCTGGACGTCATTCCTCCGCAACATCAATCCTGCTTTCCCACATCCCTCATTTTCCTTCTCACCCTCTCCTCCAGTGAAGCGTCTTCCTCCAGGCTGTTCAGAGCATTCTCTACTCGGGCCAAGCGTCCAGACAGAGACAGCAGAAGGTTGACCACTTTATCAAGATCTCCAACGAACATACGGAACTTTTCGAGTTCATTAGGCTTGCAGACACCCTGTACGATGGCCTCCACATCCTCCCCAAGAGCGTTGTTGTCTTGCACGTCCTCCTGTAGACTCTCCTGAGCTTCCCTCAACACCTGCAACTTCTTGCTGAGACTGTCAATCAACTCATGCTGCGATGAGAAAGAAAAACAAGGACAAAGTTACTTGATACAATGGACTAGTAAGAAGTATCTGATTATATCACAGATGTGTTGCTACAGCATGTTAGTACCTTCTTGCTGGCAATATCACTTTCATTGTCCTCGTCCAGCTCCTCCTCTGAGTTGTGTTCCACACTCTGTTCCTGCATGTCCTTTATCTTAATTAACAGCTCTGCTTTGGGTGCAGATGTACTGTAGTAGGTTGAATTAGTCACTAAAGCAGTGGCTGCCACCAGGCTGTCCTCCTCTTTCCTGAAAACCCACAGATGACTTTTATGAGAAACATAAATTGATCATAATGGATCCAAACACCACAGAATTACATGTGACAAAAACAATCAAACAGTGATGTGAGTTTGAGGCAGGATTATCTGTTCGCTCTAACAATGGCAGATATGAGTGTTTAATCATAATTATTTTTGCTATTCAGTTTCAGTGACTTCAGATTTACACAAAAAGTCTGCCAGATTGCTAGATGAGTTAGTGCCCCAGATCTGCAACAAGAAAAATAAAACATGCTTATGAATCATAACTTGAATGAGGAAGTAGATTGGACAGGCTACAATTTAAATATTCACTAAATACCTTTCTCAGTTTTTATTTTTATTTTTATTAAAACCACATGGGTAGGGCTCAACAGCAACACTGACCTACTGATTAAAAAATAATAATAAACGGAACATCAAACATACAAGTATATTCTTGTATAGGGTTGTAATTAAAGGGATAGTTCACCCAAAAACGAAAATTCTGTCATTAATTACTCACCCCCATGTAGGGATATGCCTGTATCAATTTTTCATGTTGCGATTAATTGCTAATGCTTTTATCACGGTATGTGGTATTATCACGATATTGAAATTTAGTTTTAAAAAAGTGCTGTCATAATACAGTATAATAGGTTTAATAA